GGTTTTTTGTTTGTGTGTATTGCTAAATTAAAGTACCTTTTTATAAAAGAGCTTATGAGGTTCTCAGTGGCAGAATATAATCTGCAATAAGACGTTATTTTTTAGCAAAGCCAAAGGAAAATAAGAAGGTACAACCTGCACAGAAATGAACATTTGTGAGATATATAATGGATTTTGATTTTACAAACTTTTCCCTTCCTATTTTTTTTGTTAGCATATCAAAGCTGAATGATACAGGGCTGGCGGTCCATAAAGATGGCAGAGGCTCAAATTTTGTATCTCTATATGTAATCATGGGAAAAGAGGGATTTGTGTTTGGTCTAAACACACCATGAGAGTGAAGCGATGATCATGAGTTGTTTGTTTGGGTTTTTTTTACTGTTTTTGTTTTTCTTTTCATGTGGATGACTGTCATAATTACAAAACTTTCAATAAAAAATATATATATATAAAAAAAAAAAAATATTTTAAACGACACGTTTCTCGTGTTCTTCCTCACGAGAACAAAACTGAACACGTCACTTTGCTTCGGAATGAAGCAACAACGAAACCGCTGCCAGATCCCAAATATGAATAGACCGTAATGCTCAGGCAGAAAACCTCAGGCCTGTTATAAGAGCTCAGGCGCCAGAGTCACCTCCATCTACTCAAACTGTTGGTTACATTAGTATAGTACAGGTTATATAGATGTTGAGGGTCTGTTTGATAACCAGACTCATTTATTATCATGTTACTAAATATTTAGGCTGTGACATCACTGTGTAACCAGCCAATGACAGTTTCTCTCTGGAATCTGCCCTGCAGCATCTAAGCGTTGTTGTGACATGCACGTTGTTGCATGCAGTAGAATTAAAACCAGGAACTCATTTTTGATTCACAGCCAGGGTTGAATATCCCCTAACAGTGACACATTGGGACTGCAGGTTATTCACACTGTGGCTGTGTGGTTGGTGAACCAATGAAAGCTCTCTTCTGTCTGCAGTCTGCCCTGCAGCAACTTTAACAAGTGCCTTAAGGTGACGGCGTCCTCGGCGTACAGCACAGAGCAGCAGCAGGAAGGTGTCGGTGCAAAGCTTTGTAATCCTGAGCAGCACAAACATGGCCGGCACCAAAGCTCGTAAGTACATTTAAAACTTTTGATTTACTGTTTAGACCAACTTTCTATCATAAAATACAATCTAGATGAAAAGTAAAAAAAACAAACAAACCAAGAGCTACATGTTAAACTGAACTGTGATTGGTTATTTCTGTATCCTGTGTAGGGCTGGGTATCGTCACTGATTTCTAGAATCAATTCAATTCCGATTCACAAGGTCCCGAATCGATTCGATCCACGATTCGATTCAATTCGATTCGATTTAAATCTGGGAAATTTTGACAGTCAGAAATATTATAATTCAGATCGGTACATTTACATATTTTTGTA